TTTCCCATTTTAGGAAAGAAAAGTCAAGATCCTTTTATACTTCCCTAGTAACCATTCCTCAAGAAAGAGATTCATTTTGGTTTCTTTACCATAGGTGGGGCTGCTCTTTGCTACTGGAGGGCACTAGAGAGCAGGACTGCTTTCAATCTCCTTTGGTACGGAGAAAGACTAAACACCACTCCAAATTAGCAAGTACCATATCCATAAATCCAGTACCATGTTTTACTATTTCCAAATTAGTGCTATCAAAAGATTGGTAGTAAATTTATTCTCAGGAATAAGAGAACATATATACCCCACTACCAGTACTATAAAAAATGACTTCTCATAAAAGCAATTAAGTTCAAGATACACTCCTTCCCCTGCAAGGAAAAAACAGGGGTAACTAAAATAGTTACTTTGAGTATGTCTTATCCTCACACATACAAGCCCATGTTTTCTCAAGAGTTAATCAATGTTCAGCCTATATGATTTAGTCCACACAAACTTTTAAACAATGTATGTATCACTGTGAATTAAAAAGGCCATATTCCTTCTCATACAACTCTTGGTTTTGTAATCATCAGCCTTTCTGGAAATCAGTGATAATTTCCTTAATTTTAGTCATCAACATGGCACTCTGATGAATGCATCATCAGCTCTTAGTAAATAATATGTCACTCATCACATGATTTTACACTTGGATTACAAAATCCTTGGTAAGAGTACTTCGATACTTGGATAAGTATAGATGGCATCTACTATGTGATTTAAATATCAACTGAAAAGCTGGAAGGGCAAAATTACCTCCACAATTTAATATAGATAAAGAAAAATAAGCTCTAAGTATCTACAGAGTTATAGTTCTGCCTCCTAATATACATTTACATATATATGTCTAAAACTGTACAAACAAAATTTCTATTTATAATACATACCAGGACACATCACTAACCAATTACAATTTATAATACCTTACCAGTAATAACTAACTAACTACACAAATAAAACCATGAACAAGATATAGAGATATTTGCCACTAAGGCAGGGGTGGGCAAACTTTTTGACTCAAGGGCCACAATGGGTTCTTAAACTGGACCGGAGGGCCGGAACAAAAGCATGGATGGAGTGTTTGTGTGAAGTAATATAAATTCAAAGTAAACATCATTACATAAAAGGGTACGGTCTTTTTTTTTTTAGTTTTATTCATTTCAAACGGGCCGGATCCGGCCCGCGGGCCGTAGTTTGCCCACGGCTGCACTAAGGGATCCTTACAATCATGTTTTTGTTGTTGTTGTTTTTTTTAAAATAAATATGTAGAAGTTTATTGGAAGCATATACAAACTCCGTCTGGGCAGGGGTGGCCCCAATGGGAAAAGCCTGTTCTCTCTTTCTCTCTAATAGGAAAACCAATCTAAAAAAATGTGTTTTGTGTCCCTTTGTCTCTGGTTTATATATTCTGCAGTTCTTTGTCTGAACCTGACCCTTTCTAATTGGACCCTTCCTTGATTGAAGACTTACAATCATGTTTTCAACAGTGTTTTGGTTGCAGGTGACAGTTCACAATTGCAGCCATTCATAAGAGTTCCTGGAATGTGGCCTACTACAGAGTTCACATTGGTCAGCTATCTATGGAAAATTATCTGCACTGTATTCATTTTCAAAAAAGGCCAGTAATATTCTGTACCTCCCCCATTTACCAAAAAGGAGCCTGTTAAGTGTACAGGTAGTTTAAACAAATTTTATAACTTTCACTGTAAAAATGGCTACACATTTCTCTATGATTATTTTCAACCATCATTATATCCTCCAGTTTATACAAAATCAATTTGATGCATCTCAACAAATGATCATATGCCTAATGAGAAAAGCTAAAATAATAGATTAACTTTATGGTAATAAGTAATATATGGCCAATGGGCAACGTTAACCAAGAACTTTAAGATATTTTCTTACTTTGCATAAACAAACATCAGCCCTTTTGAAGGTATGATAATATTATGATGTAATAATATAAGGTCTTTTCTGATTCGTTAAAATAAATAGTCTCAAAATGAGCCAATACGGAGAGCCTTGTATTAGTAATGGAACCAAAATGACAACAGAGTTTTCAATATATCAACCAAAATCACCTGAATCATTTTTGTTAATCTTCCATTTTCCTTCAACATTTTTTTTAACGCAAACACCTTACAAATACTTTCTTATGATTTGAAATTTGTTTCAACCTATTCATAAAATTTAAGTCATAATTACAAGACTTCTCACTCCATTTTATTTTACATTTGAATGACTGTAAATAAAATTGTATATAATCTATACAGTTTTATTAACCAGTCACCCCAATAAATTCAACACAACTTTTTAAAAACTGTATGCAGATTTTAATTTAGTAAGGCAACCCAAAATCACCATATTAAAATTACGATTGTGCTGGTACTTTATCCTCAAAAGTACTCAACTCAGTAATTTAAACATACACCTAGAAAAACTGTGTTATTTAATTTCAAGCACAGAACTTTAAAATGCCTCTTTTCCAAAGGCTTCCCATTAAAAAACACACAACTATTTCTAGTTAATGGATTTATTCCTTCACCAGGTATGTTGGTTGCAGTGACAAAATAGTCAAATGTGTAACATTACATCTTGGAAACTAGCTTGTTAAACTGAAAACCAATGAAAGACTATAACAAAAATTAGAAATGAAGATTTGATAAGCAACAGATTTTAAAAGACTGGGTTGGGGAGGGAAGTGCCATATTTAAAATAGGACTGCACACACATCAAAATTCCTACACTGGATTAACTGTTGCAATTGATAACACTGATAGAGTAGTATCTGTAGTTCAAACATTCACATGTTTAGAAATGAGATGAGATTATCAACTCTTTTAATAAGGGGAGGAGAAATAAATGCATCTTAGAGGTATACTCTAAAAATACATCCCAGAGTTTCCATTTGTCAACAGATCTCTCTGCTTCATGCCATATCATCATATTAAAGTTATGAGGAATGTAATTACATATGCTGTAAACTGAAAGAGGTGTGAAGAGAATAGAAAATACATTCTTCATTCACAGGTGTGCAGGTGTTTTGGGAGTGGGTTAGAAAACCAGTCATTATTTCTTGAAGAAATATGGGGGCAGTGTAAAACAGGTTCAGGGAGGTAAGCAAATGCTTATTTACTAACCCACCAGAAAAAAAATAGTTTCTGGCAGCTAGAAAAGGGAAGGTCACCTGTTGACTATTACCAAAGGTGAATAATTAAAACTCAATCTGCATTTTAGGTGTGTGCCCCTATGTGTGAAAATATGGGAGCAAAAGAGGGATTTTTCTGAGTGGCTTGTGGAATCAGTTTCTTTACTTGGTAGTTCCATCCACATAAAATTTCTCAATGACTAGCTAGCTGAGCTCACTTATGGACACGTGGAATTCTCTAAGAGTTCTCAAATGGAAGAAAGACTCCCCACAAGCAAGTCACCTACAAAAAAAGATGAACTTTGAATTACAAAAAGCAGAGAAGATGAATTTCAGTAAGCATTTTTCACACCAACCAACAGAAGTATATAAAATACAAGGCTAAACAGAAATGAAAAGTTAAGAATATGAAGGAACCCAGAGGAAACATAAGAAAAAGCTTTAACAGATCTCATTGTATTCTACATACCAATTATTCCATAAAAACAGCTTTGATCTTTTAACACATCTAAAATTAACCTTTCTGAAAACAAAACCTCCAGCAAATAAAGGTCTACTTGTGAAGTACCTGAAACTTTCTCTGTAGTTTTAAAATATAATTTTAAAGCTGTGACAAATCCGTTTTTAAAACTTGCGTTAGGTTAGGTATATTATGTCAAGTTTTCATGTGAATTTCCTCAAAACCATTTAAAATCCCCATTAAACAATAACCAAACATCAACTGTTGTAGGATTGATATGGCAAATACACCAATTTTCACTTAAACAATTAAAGAAGCTTCCCTTAAATAGAGGGAGCTAATTGCTGACATTTACCCCTTTACTATAAAATTACTCTAATTTCAAGAACTACAAGATTTTTACTACAGCTCATATCACCCTTTCCTATAGTACAAAGACTGATGATACACTTTTACTTTAAAAAAAAAAAGTATCTAAAGAAGTAAGTCACTGGGAAGCCTCTTGACTTTCTATTCTCTTTCATTAAAAGGCTGAACGAAGATATGATCTTCAAAGCCGGATTTGACATTTCAAGATTATCTCTCCAGCCTTTCCAGATACACTGGAGGAGATAGAGATCTTACATGGATCTTTCTGTACTAAAGGGCCTTCTGGTTTTCCAGAATGGCAAACTTCTAATTGTTTAATCTCAAAACTCACACTGACAAAAGTCTGCCATAAGTGTTCAAGTGTGATTGACATCTAAAAAAGGGACAATCCTACTAGCTACCATCTCTAAATTGAGAGGACTAAGATAAAATCCACCCTTTTGAATAAACAATGTTGCATTCCTATCCATTTTAGTACGTTTGAGCAACTGTGACAAGACTAATTCTCTCATTAGCCACCTTTACATGGGCAATCTTTAAAACTAGTTTTTTTAAGAATTGATAAATCAACTTTACTAAACACTAATTCTTATATTTAAAACTGCTAACTGCCTCAAATTGAAAAAGAACTCTTCCAAAGTTGCACCCTAAACTACGTTTGGCCAAACATTCCTATAAAATATTTTATATAAGATTTTCATACCTGTCTTCATCACCATCAACAGGAATAGCTATGCTGAATACAGAGGTGGCCAGACTGTTCATAGGTGTTAACTGAAGGGGGTTTGCCAGGGCATCGGCAACAGGAGGCTTCACAACAGGCTTATTTTCAGCAATGAGAGAAAGTGGTGGTTGAGGTAGGGGTTCTGATTTTCTTCTAGTATCGTCAACTTGTCCGACTGAAGGCTGGGTCTGAGTCTGAAACTGGCTTAGGTCAGACTGTGGTAGACTTGTTGGTGCACTGGGTGTGCCTTGCGCTAAAGGCAGCCCGACTTGCTGGATTATGCTACCGCTCCTGCTGACTGGCGCATGGCTGCTCAGCTGCTGCGACTGGACCAGGGCCGTGGGTACATGTGGCATAGTAACAGATGTGGTAGACACACTGGACACGCTTGGAGCGGGCACGGCGGCAGGCACGTTTGGAACTCCAACTCCGGGCACCATGGTGTGAGGGCCACCAGACGCGGCTGACGGCGCACCGCTGCCTCCCACCAGCGGTGGAGGCGCGGACTGGGGCTGCCCG